AAAACTATGCAGAAATTGTATGCAGTACTACAAAATTAAAATTTGGTTTTTTTTTATTTTTTATTCAAAAATAATTTAATCTTACTATGTATTTTTTAATGCATTAATTAAAAAAGAATAAGGATAATATTGAAAATATGGTGAGTGTCAGTGAAAATCGTACAGTAAATTTTTCCCATTTTTTTAATATTTTATGTAAATTTTAGTACTTTTACAAGCTATTATTTAACTTGATCTGTATGCATGTACACTGCCAGGACAAACTATTGGCACAGCAAATTTTTCACAATATATGCAACAATGTTTTTTCTAATATTTTTTCGCCAATTTTGTATAAAAAGTTCTTTCTACATCAAAAAAAAACATAAAAATATAATACCTTAACTTTGTGCAAAACTCACGAAAATTCAGCAAATTTTCAAATTTTTAATCAGATTTAAAAAATTTTTTTTCAGTATGCAGGTTGTCGCCCAATCAATTGTATTAAATAAAGTACAAGTTTTAGGTAGCGAGGAATTACCGTTGATTTTTGACAATTTTTTTTTAGATGCTAAAGATAACGAGTAAAAAAAAATGTGAGTACCCCTTCGTAGCATGTTTTAGAGAATTTCCTGTAATTTCTGAGCATAAAATTTGAACTTTTCGCACTTTTTTCTGTAATTTCGCGAAATAAATTTTTCGAACAAAGGTAAAATAACCCCATAAATTTTAGAATTGAGAATAATTTTTAGGTGGAAAGCAGATAACAAGGACCATATAATCTGCGAATTGCAGACGTTATAGCAATCCAGTCATTCCCATAATTTATATTTAGGTTTTTCTAATAAAAGATAGAGCACAAACTAAATTTCATCGAAATCAGATACAAAATTTAATGTTTCCGCCCACAAGAATGGAGGGCGTGACAATTATCCTATCTTTACTATGTATGTATATTTCATTATTCTCTATTCCTAAGAGCTCGATTCGAATTCGTTCTCGTTCTCTGGTAAATTGGGTAGTTGGCAGTTGAAACACATATGTACATACATACATTTACAACTATCAAAGCCAATTTTCTGTCTTCTGCGTATACTTTCCTGTTTTGCCCTCTAAGAAATTTCCCGAAACAGATATAGTTGTGGGCATATAGCGTGTATATACATAGATGTATGTATCTTCATATATGTACATTAGGCTGGGCCAAATTGTTCGGGTGAGAGAGAAAAAATGCGAAAGGCGTATAGCAAAAACCAAAATTACGCTAAATTCTAATTACCCAAAGAAACTAGGGGTTTAAAATTAAAACCTAGCCCGCGCCGAGTGGCAAAAATATTTCAGTTTGAGATATGTTTTTTAAAACCACTGCATAGATTTTTATGTCTCTCGGCGGGAGCTTGATTTTTATTTTAGTCGCATAGTTTCTTGGGGCAGTTTTCTTAGAATTCTTCCTAAACTACGTTTATGCTATACGCCTTTTGACCAAAAAAAAAAAAAAAAAATTACCCACCCTAATGTACATACATACACAGCGAGCATGCATTCTTA